TCTATAATCTATATTGATTACCAATGTCTGTCTGTCCATACAAAGCACTATTGCAAATAAATACATTCACAAAATGTTTAATTGAAGGCATTGCACACTAGATCTAATTAACATATCTAGCAATAATATATGCTCATGTGACCTCATTAAAAATGCATAAATATCATATCTGGAGCGCTATTGCAAATAGACGTTCAACCAGTGCATTATTGAAGACATTGCACACTAGATCTAATCAATATATTTATTGACCATATATGGGTTTGCTACCTCATTAAAAATGCATTAATGTCATCTGGAACACTATGAAGACATTATTTATTCACTGGGGTTTGATTATGCTTCTTTTGCTGATAAGTAAAATTTGCTAAATTAAATCTATGTGAAGTTATAAAATAACAGTAGAACTCATTGTTCCTCTACGAAATTCAAGAATTTGTATGGTTTCTGTGTTAAAATGCCATTATGCCTGGTAACCCTGGGTCATGTATGGTTTCTCTGTTAAAATGCCATTATGCATGGTAACCCTGGGTCATGTATGGTTTCTATGTTAAAATGCCATTATGCATGGTAACCCTGGGTCATGTATGGTTTCTATGTTAAAATGCCATTATGCATGGTAACCCTGGGTCATGTATGGTTTCTATGTTAAAATGCCATTATGCATGGTAACTAACCCTGGGTCATGTTTAGTTTCTGTATGTTATTTCTCTACAGCCTGCAATTTGTCTTTATTAAATTCTTCTTTTTTTTCTACAGGTCTTACAAAAGATGATAGCAAATTAAATTCTCAACAGAGAGAGATGGCCACAAAGTAAGTTTTTTGGAATTTTTTTTTTTCAGTGAATACATTATAATACCATACTCGTCTAACTCAGCGCCCAGCTTTAGGGAGTGGGTGCTTAATTGAGCATCTCTCTCAAAAATTTACCCAAATGGCAATTCTTGTTCACCATGTGCCACATCTGGTAACTTTTTTTTTTCAAATTGCGTGAGAAAATATTACAAGATGCAGAGTGATCTTATGGCATCACATTCACCTTTACAGTTACCGTGGCGACTACTGTGTTACTACTGATCATACTAACCTTTTTCGTCTCTGTTTATATCACTTTACAGGAAAATGCCCACTATAATAGAATACTATAGTTACATATTTTATTTCCAAGCACTGGCTGTTGGTCCAGTATGTTTTTATAATGACTATATTGATTTTATCAAAGGAAAGCACTTAGTTCCGTATGTTATTAAAACAAAAGATGGCAAGGAGGTTGTTGTACACAAAGAGCCTCCAGTTTTGGTAAGTTTGTTTTCATAGTGAATTGCATGGGTAACGTTCATCAAACCACTCCTGTTTGGGGGACAATTTGATACTGACTATATATCTAGGACTCAGCTGTTAAACTTGGTCCCCACGCTAAGTTTAAAATAATTAATTTGCGGTTTCACCAGGGGGTACTGCTGCAGTGGACAGTTCGTGGGTTGACAGAAGCACGATCACAGTGATAACACTAAACTTGAACACTTTATCGCAGAATTCCTGAAGGAACTAAACACTAACTAACACAATGTGTAAGTCTAGTAGCACATACAAAACTATATAGGTTTACAATGCAAAGTTCCTTGCCAAAACTTACAGCTGACTGGTAAAACAAACGCACAACTAAAAAATTCTACTTTTTTTTAGAATAGGGGGTCCATTATTGAGAGTAAAAGCCCGCAAAGAGTCATGATTGGTCAAACGGCAATCACTCCACATCATGAATAAATGAAACAGTGAAATAAAATAATTGATGTACTAACAATAAAAATAATGTTATTGATTGCAAATATTCTCGATGTATTATCGATGGTCTCAACGACAACTTCTCTTAATGGACAGCCTCAAAATAAAGCATTTCTCAAACCAGCTTGGTACATGCATTGGACATTGTATGCATTAGATTCGAAATGGCCAACTGGTGGCCATATTGCTTAAATGAATGTCATTTTAGTGGCATGTATTTGACAAGGCTAAATCAATCATGTTTTAACTTCACACATACATCATGTCACACACATTTTTTCCTAAACCAACTGATAGCCAAATAGCATCCATTTTAAAGCTAAAAAAACAATTAAACCTTTATATATAACTTCTATATATCAGCAGAGGTACATTACTTGGGGTTTGCAACACGCATAGTACTGTATGGTGACATCATGTCAAGATCCCATTCAAGTCTCATCTCGTAGATCGTGAGACTGATGCTACGACCTTCTGACATGGAATAGGCGGTTTGTAATAATCAATAAAACATGTATTACCACATTCATAGTGAAAAAATGTAATACATCGAAAATGTACAGAAAATATAGTTATCGTAATCAGTCATATCGTGAGCAGCTATTTTGATCCACCTATACATCTCAGTATCCTAGTTACCTCGGGCATGCTCATTCGCATTTTTCTGAGTTGGAACGCTTATGCGAGAGAGCGAGATTGAAACGGGATCTTGGTATCATGTCATCGTAGTTGCAAACCCCAAGTAATGTATCTCTGATATCAGTCATGTTTAGTTTCAAAATGGCTGACTTGTTTCAATATTGCACCACAGGCGCTGTATCATGTCAATGACTTGGAAAGAATCAAATGGTTTCATTAAAGATTGATTTTGAACAATAAAATATGCTTTCAAACTGAAAATTAAAATTTCCTCATTCTACCTTATGTGGCATGCTCACCAGTATATGAAAATAAAAAAAAAAAACATTACAGATAGAAGATCATATGTTAATTCATTGATTTATAATTTTAGCTAGCTGTTATTAAGAAGCTGCTATTCAGTGCACTCATGGTGGTGATATTATTAACAATGGTTCCAAGATACCCTCTCATGGGGAATTTCTGTAAGTATAAGTCGTCTTTCCATTCATAGTTTTGGTCAACATTAAGCCACTCTTGCACAATCGCTTCACAATTAGAATGTCTACCCTGTTATTATGTATTGCATAGCACCTTATTTTTGACTCCAATGTCTGGCGCACTCGTATTTGCTTACTTTGTGTGCCTGTCTGTGTCATTGTTATCTAAAAACTTTTTACTACACAGATAGTATGAGACAGTACCCTGACAGGATTAATTTTATTTTTATACAAATTTGTGCATATTAATTAGCTGATTATCATTTAATTGTTTGATGATATCCTTGTATCTTTGATGCAGCAAAGGCAACAATGCTGGAATTTTTTGTTTTTAGTAGAAATTTCTGCATATCGATAAGCTCAAATTGATTAACTAACTGATTTATTTAATTAATAACCAGTCAAAAGGCAGTGGTCGTTGCACTGCGTTATGTTCAATAGCGATACACACGTGTGAAATACATTATTTGTTTACATGAAACTTGAACACAAGCTGCTTGACGAACACGCACTGCTTTGACGACCACTCCCCTTTAACCAGTGTGTCACCTTTTAGGCCAAAAACAAAAATAGATCTGTTTCTGGAGCTGTGTGTAAAACTAATTGGAGCATTGTACATATATTCTTATGTTGACTTTTTTTTTATAAAAAGCTGCCACAGAGGGCGCACTGTTAACATTTATTGTATTATCTTTTTAGATAACATTGAACTCTTGAATTCCTCTCTGTTGAATAAGTTTATCTACTTATGGATTTCGGTTGAAGTCGCAAAGTCAAAATATTTTTTTGCGTGGACATACGGTATGTAAACAGTTTATATGATGATTAAAATAAATGGGTTGTTGCCCATACATGGACCTTCTTAGCTTCTGTTTTTTTATTCCCAATTTTTTGCTCAGTTTTTAAAAATCACGACATTAAAATTTGGCAAGTATAGCCGTCATAAAATTTTACGTGTATAAGTGTTTTTTTGTGCCGACCTTTAATTCACGAGTGCACTAATGTATAACCGTTTAATTGTATTTTTAGCCGATGCACTCAACAACGCTTCCGGGCTTGGTTTTAACGGTTACGATAAGAACGGCAATCCTAAATGGGATCTTGTAACAAATATTAATATTAAAGATTTCGAGGTGAGTGTTTTTGTGAATTAAGATTGTGAAATGATACCGTATTTGCACAATTAGAAGCTTGTGTGGTTTGGATAAGTGATCTATCCAGCAAATTTGGGTTAAAAGGTTTAGCACAAGTCTGGTATTTTAAAAATCCAAAATCAATCCCTGATACATGTAGTAGGGAGGTAGGTCCTGAGTTTGATTTGAAAACTGAAAAAAGTGATCACCCTCACATCTTTCACGATGCCGCAGACTCAATTGATAGCCTGACATTGTGCAGTGCTCTTCATGCTGTTTTTTCGCACAATGTTTTTAACTTCTCGATTGATATCAAATGATGACCAGTTCCTCTTTCTTGTTTATTTAATGAAAGATGCACAAGTTAAGTATCAACATGTTGCTTGTCTATGTTTTGAGTTGAGCTGCTGTCATGCAAATGGACAGACTGATTTTCGAATGACATGCAAGGAAATCAGTGGAAAGGTGAAGGGAGACCATAGGCCTCGCCTGGCCTGGTTGACAACCTAGATGGTGGCAATAAATTGCCATTTGATAAACAAATGGCCACACATCTTGTCATGTATGATATATGCATGATAAAAATTGCACGTTCATACTGGCCGTTAAAAACTAATCTTTGCTGTTGTGTTTTGTCCTTTAGTTGTCAACGAGTTTGAAAGTTTTGATAGACAACTGGAACACGCAGACGAGGAAGTGGCTGCGATACGTTTGTTACGACAGAGTACCTTTTCAAAAAACACTTTTTACTTTCATATTATCATCAATTTGGCATGGTTTCCAGCCAGGATATTTCTGGACGTTTTTCCAGGGTGCCTATTTTACATACGCCGGGAGAAAGGTTCGTCAAAAATGATCTCGCTAGTATGGTAGTCACAGTTGTGATGAATTCAATACATTTTGCAATGTATTTTACTTGTGTTTGCGCTGCGTGTGACTCATAGCAAACACATCGTGGTGCAACACCAAGTGCTGGGGACAGACAAAATCTTTAGTAATATGTTTAGTGTACGTACTACCAACATTTTGATCTCTTGTCCAAAACATCAAGACAGATTATGTTCTTTGTCATAGATTCACCCCTGGGTTGATGTACATTACTGATAAGACATTCATTTTCTTAGGTGCGTTACACCATTCGTCCATTTTTTCAAGACTCAAAAGCAAAGAAGATCCTCTATGATATGTTTACATGGCTGGGGACACAAATTTTGTTATCATACTTGGTTTTACCATTCACGCTTCTCAACAACTCTATTATTATTCAGTTTTATTCGTAAGTATACAATTGTTTGTTTTTTTTTGAGGGGGGGGGGGTTAAATTAAGGCTAAAATTTTGACCTAATGAAAAATGTGATGTTTGCTTGTGTGTCGCCTATGACCATTCCCTTTTGTGTTATTTACAGTGTTTTTGTGGCTCTACTGTCAAATGTCTAGCTACTGCATCACCATCTGCTTGTACATTGTGAATATTCGTAAATTGAAAATAATGCAAGTTTATTTGCTTGATATTAAGTCGTGAAATTTAGTAGCAGTGGATATTCATTTTGTTGCGTTATTTTTTTTGCAGGTCGATGTACTTTTGTATACATATCTTGGCTGCCTTGTTCATCATTTTGTTCCCCACCAAAAAGAGACCATCGAAAACTGACTCGGATAACAATTCCGTTACCGATACGCACGCGATATTGACTGCTAACAACACTATAAAAATAAACGGCAATTGCAACGGCCCGCTGAACGTCAAGAAAATGCAGTAAAAGGTCAGCTGATCTTATCATGTGACAAGGCACTGTAAAGAGTACTCAGCTATCTTATATGCTACTTACCAAAAAAAAAAAAAAACATCGTTTTGTTCCCACTTTCTGCTCCACTTTTATCAAATTAACTTATTCCTGCCAATGCGATTGGTAATTATCACATATTTACAAAAATCCAGAATTTTCCATATACAAGTTTGGAGGTGGGTAAATTTTTGTAGATTTCACATTTTTAATAATGAAGCAGCAACGTCTGCATTTTTATTTATTTACCTAAGAGAAATTTACATGATAATTACTTGTTGTCAAAGAAAACCAGCTATAATTATGAAACACTGTCACCACTGACTGATCACATGTTTTCAGTTTAAATGTATGCGGTGTTCCCCCCAGAAATATAGTAAGACGTTATGTCTAAACAATGCAATGTTCTATTTACCTTGTTGAATAATGTTGTTTATTCAGAATTACAGAGTTAGAGCCTCCTACTCTGTAATGATCTGGAGAGTTTTGATAGATCCTTTTTGATTTGCATTTATAAACGTAAGGATATTGATCGTTGTGACACAAAATTCTTTGAAGAGAACTCTAATTTCCATAGATTGTTTCTGATTCGCATTTCTGAACAATAACCAATCAATGGACAATTATCGTCCTGACAGGCCTTGTATTTTGAAAAATACCTGTAAGCTAAAAATGGCTTTCCTGAACACATTTGGGATTAGCGGCAAAGTAATCACACTTCTTAAAAAGGTCTGCAGCATGTTCAAAATACTCTACACTAATTTTTGAACGCTACCACATAATGATTAGTACTTCACTTGATTTGCCAAAAATGAGAAAGTTGCGCCAATAACAAGAATAATTAAGATATTTTTCAGGATTGGTTACATTCTCTCAAAGATTGAAGAAAACTTTACTACGTTAAAACTGCGTTTTCTTTATCTAACTCGCCCAAAATTGACTGTTCCTGTTTAGTTAATTTACATACAAAAAAACAACACAGTTGTACATCTCGTAAAAAACTGTATTAAGCAGGTGGATACATATACTAATTTTCACCCAGATCTACATTTGTTGGTTTGTTATTCAAAACAAACAAGATCTCTTTGTTAGTCAAGGTACACACAAGGTACATCATGTCACAAATATGTATGTGCATTTGTTTCATGATCTCATTAACGATAGCCAAATGGCGGCCGCTTTAAGGCCGAAAATGCATTGAAATCGCACATTTTCACCATTCCGGACCCGGATCTCAGTTATGCATGGACGGATTTCATTCAAATTTAGTACATACATTAAACATAATAGGACCTTGATGCACGTCATTTTTTTTTTCGGATCAAGTTCGAAATAGCCGACTGGCGGCCATTTTGTTTTAAAGAATTCAGTTCTGGATCCGTATCCGAGACATGTCTGGATTGATCAAGTTCAAACTTCACACACACAAGGTACATCATGTCACAAATACGTATGTGCATTTGTTTCATGATCTCATTAACGATAGCCAAATGGGGGCCGCTTTAAGGCCAAAAATGCATTGAAATCGCACATTTTCACCATTCCGGACCCGTATCTCAGTTATGCATGGATGGATTTTGTTCAAATTTGGTACATACATT